GAGGGGTCGCTATGAGTCGGGGCCGACTCGACGGCACATAACAACAACAACAACAACAACATACCTTAATCGTACCCCAAGTCTTTATCCTAATGAAATAATCAACTATGGCCAAAACTTTGCACGTCTGGATTTCTAAAGAATTTGAAGTTCTAAAATGTATTTATTTTTTGATGTTTGGTGTAAACATTCTTATCCGGCCATATTGTGCAAGTTAACATGATGTTACTTGAAAGTGTTTTTATCAATAAAGGATTGGTCAAATGAATCAGGGCACATGCATATAATGAAATACTATGTAATCATTAAAAATGAGGCTATAAGTTTATTCTAAGTGACCCAGAAAGATGTCTACAATATACTGTTAAACTTTTTTAAGAAAGCAGATCATAAGATAATATAGTATTATTCCATTATTGCAAAAATAATATACAATGTGCAGGTTTTTAAGTGCTGCCCAGTCAGTTTTCGACTCATAAAGCAAAACCAAATCCGTTGCCACTAAGTCAATTCCAACACATAATAAACCTTGTAGGACAGAGTAGAATTGCCCCCATAGGGTTTCCTAGGCTGTAATCTTTATGGAAGTAACTGCCACATCTTTCTTCTATGGAGTAGCTGGTACGTTGGAACTGTCAGCTTTTCCATTAGCAGCTGAGCACTTAACTGTTGTACCACCAGAGCTTTCTCCCTCTCTCTCTCTCTCTATATATATATATGCTAAATGTATGGTATCTCTCTCTGTATATATATGTGTATGTGTGTATATATATATATATATATATATATACACACACACACACACAGGGATTAAAAAAAGACTGGAAGGATACACTGAAATATTAATGATTTTTCTCCCAGTAAAATATTCTTCTTTATGCTTTTCTCTACTTTCTGATTTTTTTTTTTTTTTGCAATAAACACATATCACTTTCATAACTTTTAAAAGGTTTTTTCCTCCCATTTTTCAGTGTTTTCCTCTATCACTGCTAACCCTGCAGCGTCGCCCCTGCACTGTACATTTAAGACAGTCTGGCTGAAACAAAGTATAGGGAGGTGCCATCCCACCAGAGCTGGGAAGCTTGTATCTAATATGTCCTGTCATTTCTCCTGGGCAAACTGCTCACCTTTCTAAAGCTTCCAACTCCTTTCCTGCAAAAAAAACTTCATAAATTGTAAAGCATTGAACTAACAGATTGTGCTTATTACAATATTGTTATTATCATTTTAGACCCAGGGGTTTTTAATCCTTGTTTTTCAATTCATTCATGAGATTATCTCTACACCCTGGCCACTCGAAGTGTGGTCATGGGATCAGCAGCAACTGCCTCACCTGGAAGCTTGTTAGAAACGCAGAATGGCGGGTCCTACCCAGACCTACTGAATCAGAATCTACAAGTTAACAAGATCCTCACATGGATCCTCCCACATTAAAGCTGGAAAAGTCCTGGTCTAGAACACCATACCCCAGCCCAGTTTCTCCTGAGTGCTGAAAATGTGGGGTTGTTAGTAATCGGCAGTTACCACCAGCACTGATGTCAGGGTGCCAATTCACATAAGGTGGTCTTCGTTATGCCAATTTCAAGGTCACACTCAGCCACACTAGGTCAGCCACACTAGAGCAGAGCCAGATCTGGGCAGCTGGCTGTTACCCTGGAGACAGAAGACAGCCTTAGGGATGTTTGATCTAGCAGGTCCTGGGCAGTGGCATCTCTGCTCCGCCAGTGTAGGTAACTGGTAAAAATAAAGAAAATAAAAAGCAGTTTGAATTTCTGAATCAGATCTTGTGCTACCTGGGAGCCCCCACATTTTGGGATTATTTAGCCCTTCTTTAATCTGTTGAAGAGTCCTGGGATGATGGGAACTGGCAACCGGAGGTGGAGGGGGGGCATCATGTGGCCACTGAACCTTTCTCTTATTTCCCTCCTTTTCACCCCACCTCCCCTCCCTCCTGCACCCCTGCTCTGCCTATGGTGTTACAGAAGCCTTCTGGTTGTTAGGGTGCAGGCAGAGAAGCCAGCTCTGTAACACGTAGTTCAAGTTTACTTCTCTCAAGGGAGCCTCTTGGAAATTCTGGAGGGGCTGTGGGAGGATCTGGCTGTCTGCGTCCTTCTTTCCCAGAGGCTGAGGGGAGAAGGGTGAGTGGGGGCGAGACTCACATCTCTGGGTCCAGCTGGTGGAGTTCCTTGGAGGGGGCCTCCTGTGGTCCTGGCTGGGTCACCCCTGTCTCTTCACTTCCACACGTACCTGGAGGCTCAGAAGGGTCAGTAGGGTGTCCCTTGGGAATCTGGGGGGGAACCACACAGGACTTGCTATTAGGGCTACAGTCTCATGGGATGACTCAAAATCAGTTCAACATCCTCAACTCCATTGCCATAGAGTCTGTTTTGACTGATAGTGACCCAATAGTACAGAGTAGAACTGCCCCCATAGGGTTTTGAAGGCTGGAATCTTTATGGGGGAGCTCCAGTGGTGTAGTGCCTAAGGCATTTGACTGCTAACCAGAAGGCTGGCTGTTCAAACTCACCAGTCACTCCTTGGAAGGAAAGTTGGGTAAACTACTTCCACAGTGACACTGCCTTGGAAACCCAAAGAGGGGTCGCTATGAGTTGGATCAGACTGGATGGCAGTGAGTTTGGTTTGTTTTGGTTTAATAGTCATGGTAGCTAACACCCAGAGAACGCCATACTATGACCCAGACCGGGTTTATGTACTTTACATATATTAACTCATTTAAACCTCATAACAACCCTGTAAGGCAGGTATTATTATCTCCATTTTACAGATGCAGAAAATGAGGCACGTAGAGGTTACATAATTTGTCCAAAGTCAGAAAGCTAGTAAATGACAACCAGTATTTAAATTCAGGCTGTCTGGCTTCAGAGCATACAATATTACTGGCAGCATACAGTATTACTTCCTCCAACGTACTTTTAACGTTCCGTAATTATTTGTTTTGATGGAAGGTGATTTCTTTGCCTTGTTGATGTCAAATCCACAATAACTAGAAAAGTACCTAAAAAAAAAAAAATCCACTTGCTATCAAGTTGATTTTGATTTTTGGCAATTATGTGTGTCAGAGTAGATCTGTGCTTCACATAGTTTTCAAAGGCCATGATCTTTTGGAAATGGATTGCCAGGACTTTCTTCTGATGCACCTCTGGGTGGACTTGAACTCCCAACTTTTGTATTAGTAGCCAAATGCTTATTACCATATGCTAGAAAAGTGCATGGCATATAGCAATAAATATATACTGAATGAATGAAGAAATGAATAAGAATACTAGCAGAAAATGGTCTTTTCAACACTACTTATCACAAAATAATAGAGTTCTCATCATTTTACAACCAAACCAACTACCACCAAGTCGATTCTAACTCAAAAACAACCCTACAGGACAGAATAAAACTGACCATAGTGTCTCCAAGGCTATAAATCTTTATGGAAGCAGACTGCCTCATCTTTCTCCCACAGAGCGGCTGGTGGATTCGAACAGCCAACCTTTTGGTTAACAACCAAATGCTTTAACCACTACACCACCAGAGCACTATCATTTCACAATAGTTGCTGTAAACTTGGGCCAAATAAAGATGGGCAAAGCCAGACCTGAGGGGGCTGCTGGGCAGGTGGCTGGGCTGACTCACTAGACTCCCTCACAGTGCCTTGAAGTGTGATTCAGGATTAGAACTCCAGGCAGGGTGGGGAAGTGAGGGACACACTGTGGACCTTGGAGACAGCTTGTGAAGCACTGAAATTGGTTAAATTTGCAATGCTTCAGGGTTTACTACATTGAGCACTGGAGCACTGACTCTATACCAGACATTCAGTCAGATGTTCAGGATACAGAGTAAGACACAGACAAATGAGACTCCGTGCTGTGGAAACACGGAAGATGGAGGAGGTGGATATCAAAGTTACACAATCAACCTAGCTCGGAAGCTGGGCCTTGGATAAGACATTTTGCAGGGCAGGTAAGTGTTTTGAGGAGGCAAACACACTTCTTTGGAAGGGCAAATATTCATATAATCTTCATCATCTCCTTAGCTCTGATTAAAAAAAAAAAAAAAAAAACCTCATTCACATGTTGAGTATCAGCCACAGTCTGTGTCCTCAAATACTGTATGAAATGAAAGTCAGTTTAAGGCAATTAGACAAATGATTCAGAGTTTCCCAGAATTTCAATTCAGTCTGAAAAGTTCTTGTTGTTGTTGTATGTTGTTGTTGTTGTTATGTGCCGTCGAGTCGGCCCCGACTCATAGAGACCCCTCCTTGGGTTTCCGAGGCAGTATCACTACGGAAGTAGGATTGCCCAACCTTCCTTCCGAGGAGTGGCTGGTGGGTTTGAACCGCCAGCCGTCTGGTTAGCAGGCAAGTGTCTTAGCCACTATGCTACCAGAGCTCGACACTAAAAAAGCAGTAAGTGGAGAAAGAAGAAAGATGGTGGTGATTGATGGGAATTTTCAACTTTGCACATGTAGACAATCCAAAAGAATTGAACTTTGAGGGAAGGAAAAATTAGAGTAGACTCAGGGGAAATCATTCTTACACTGAGTGTGCTCTTCTTTCTTTAGAAGAGGGAGTACAAAACTATCAAGAAGAAACATGATTTCTTCCAGATACAATCCACAAACTTTTTTAAAATTATTCATCCAGAAGAAACAGCTCTTTAACAGTTCGTCAGTTCCAACTGCATTGTTACATCCAAAACAAATGAGACTTCAAAACACCAATGCTTGAACTAGCTTTTAATTTTTTTAAAAAATCTATTTTAAACAGTATGATTCATAGGACTGTGGTGAGTTAAGTTTCCATGATGTATTAAGATATAATCAATAATTCCATGAATTGGGATCCTACAAATACATAAAACCCCACCACCACCACCACCAGGTACCAAATTGGGCTGTGAGTTGCTGTATTACCTCTTTTGAGGGGGGAGAAGATATGGATACCAAGTCATCCAGGATGCTCGGAGAACCCACAGGAAGAGAGGGAGGGGAAGTATATTTGTGTTCATCGATTTTCTCTTTAACATCTTCAAGCAGCATCTCCAACTTGAAGATTTCACCTTCCACCTTCCTAAGTAAATGTAAGTAAACACAAGCATAGTCAAAGAAACTATTGTATGCTAGGTAGCCAGCATTCTGACTTAGTAACAACAGTTCTTCAGTGTTACTTTGATCTGTATTATGAATATGGTCTGTGTTCAGACAGGTAGGATAATGGATACGAGCCCTAACTAGCATCCTGTTTATGGTTTGACTGTGAAAACCTGAGCAGTAATCTTCATTTTCTGTTCATTGCCTGTTTATCCTTAATCTTTCTAGGCCTCCAGTGTCTCGCTGTAACCTGGAGTTAACATTCACTTGCTTATCAGAATCTGATGTTTTCAAAAGCCCTCACAAATCTAAAAGCTGTGATTCTATGGAAATATTTATGTCAATTAAAAAAAGAGGAAGAATAAAAAAAATTTAATTAAAAAAGAGGAAGAAAATATTTGAATAATTTAATTAACAAGTTGATCTAATCTTTATGATTTTAGGTACTTGTGTTTATTAATGTAAATGTTTTTTACCACCCCAAAAAAAAGCCAGAATCCATTTTCTTCAAATCTATTACAATTACAAAAATTTACCTCATATTAATGCACAAAGAAAAAAAAGCTTAACAAATTCTAAAACATTCAAAATCATACAGCTCACATTCTCTGATCACTAGAAATTAATACCAAAAAGAGAGCAAATAAAAAATAAGTCAATCTAGTTGTAAAAAACATTCATCTAAAAAACTTTTGGGATAAAAAGGAAATGAAATGGAAATTAGATATAATTTACAAATGGGTGATATTGAGAGAACATATGAAAATCAAGGTAACACAGCTAAAACAGTGCTGTGAGGAAAATTTACAGTTTTAAAATGAATTATTAGGGGAAAATGTTCAAAAATCAAACTAAGTATTCAATACAAGAAGGCAGAAAAAGAACTACAAAGTAAACTTAAGAGAAGGAAGAGATTCATAAAGGTAAGCAGCAAGAAATGAAATTTAAAAGGATTTGATCAGTAAAATAAAGTGTTTTCTTTGAAAATAACCGTAAAATAAACTATTAGAAAGTCTGACCAAGAAACATAAATAATATTAGGAATGACAAAGATAAAATAACGGGGGAAATTCTTAAATCAAAAGGGATTGAGCAACTTTATATCAACACAGTTAATACCTAGTTAAAATGGAAGTTTCAAGGAAATATAAATTATTAAAATTTATTCAAGAAGGTAGGATATCTGAAGAAAAAAAAAATGAAACAGATTAGTAAAAAATCTACCCCCAAGAAAGCACTAAGTATTATGAGTGAATTCTCCCAGGGCTTTAAGGAACATATAATTCCTGTGTTATTAAACTCTTCTGGAACATAAAAAGAAAAGAGAAAGTTTCCCAACTCCTTCTATAGCTCAATATTAGGGTATTATTATACTATATAAATAAAGGAGATAAACTATATTGCCTTCTAAGTAGATTTCTATTCAGTTAAATCAAACTCTTTCTAAATTATATATATATATATATATATATATATATATATTAACCCTAATAAATCCTAGAATAGAAATCTTTCTTGATAAAACTTATTTTCTTGAACCTACAACAGTTACCACATTTGGAAGCATTTCCATTAACAGTAGGAACATGACAAGAATGCTTGCTTTCACCAGTGGTATTCAATATTGTTCTGGAAAGACTAGAAAATGAAACAATAGAAATAAGTGAGATAGCTAAGAACTGGAGAGAAGGGAAAAAAAACTATAAACATTTGGCAGAAAAAAAGAGAGAAAATATTTTCAGATGCTATGATTTTCATACCTAAAAACTAAAACAATCAACTGAAAAGCCAACAAAACACCAAGAAGAAAATTGCGTAAAGCTGCCCAGTACAAGTTAAATATACAATGTTTTGTATTTCTTACATACTAGTTAAAGAAAATATATGAACAATTATCAGAAACATTATAACAAAACTAGGCATACACTTCCCCCTCTCCCCCAAAGTGTAAATCTACAAAGAAAACATGTTCCTGCCTGGGAATGCTCATTGCAAAGATTTTAACTCTTCCTAAATCAATCTGTAAATTTCATATAATTGTAAACAAAATTCTAATGCAATTTTATTAAGAAAAGCTACATATAAATTTTATTAATAAGAGGAGTGTGCAAGAATACCCAAAGCAAATTTTTAAAAGAATACTTCAAAATATATACTAGACAACAGTAATTACAAATTGTGTGGTTAATGTAGAAATAGATCAGTGGGAGAGAATAGAACCAGGCCCATATACAAGTGAAGGGTGGGTATGATAAAGGATTAATCAAATCACAGCCAGCCATAAGCAACAGCCAACTTGTCTGTCAAGATTTATAGACCCTTCAAACAATAAACAGAAGGCTCAAAGCACAGAACAGAGCTCTCTAACCAGTCCAATGGACCGCAGACAATAGAGGGTGGACTTGTGTATCAAAACTGATATAGCAGGAGGCAGGTTAGAGATCGACCTAGTATCATTCAGAAGGCCAGAACAGAACTAAAGGCTGCCAGGCAACCACCATATGACAGACCCAAGATGTCTGAGCCAAGAGACCAGCGTTTACAGAGAAAAGGAAAAATAAAGAAAGTTACCCAATCATAATTTTAGTTCTTTGTTTTCACTTTAACCAGTCACATCATGTAAGTAATTTACTCATAGGTATGTGCTCCAATGACTGTGAAGGGCACATTGAAAGACCCTTATTCACCAGAAATCACCATTTGTCAAAATTATTTTAAAAAGCACATATTCATTGTACTTTTTTTGGATTTTGGCCTGTTTATAGCCATAGTCCTTGCAGCCAGTTTCCCATTATTCATTTATGTTTTTCTGATATGTCACAATAAAAAAAAATCTCTTTTGCCACAGAAGATTTTGGTAAAAATGTATTACTCTACTACACGTATGGGAGGAGCTCTGGTAGCATAGTGGCTAAAAGAACTTGACTGCTAACCAGAACGCTGGAGGTTCAAACCCACCAGCCACTCCTCGGAAGGAAGGTTGGGCAATCCTACTTCCGTAGTGATACTGCCTCAGAAACCCAAGGAGGGGTCGC